TCTCTAGAAGCCCCATAAGCTTCAGAACTGCTTTATGTTGTAGAAACCTCAAATCCTTAAAAAGATGCAGGTTTTGTGCTAAAGCAGTTCTGCTGTTCAAAGCCTGTGGTGCAGAACACTGCTGGGCAATAAGGTTGTCATGAGCCTCACTAGCAGTACTTGGCAGCATTTGCTCTTCAGGGAAGGAAGGGTAAAAACCAGTAAATAGGAGAACACCAGCATCAGCCTGGTGTAGACTGGAAAGCCCCTGCTCTTGTAGTTCACTCAGTGAAGTCACACTGTGACTCCAACCTTTCCTGTATGTGCTTGGACACTGTGGAGTGGCTGTGTGCTGTCACAGGTGCTGTCCCACCCTTCTGTGTGGTGGGTGCACATCTGGGCACACAGAGACAGTTCTGGTTGAGTCACTCATCCAGGTGACTTCAGTCACACCTGTGTGTGATAATGTGATGAGTGAGTGCCATGAGTGAATGTTGCACAAAATTCCCAAGTATCTGATCATGAGATGGGGCAAAAAAATAAAGTAAAGCAGAAAAATAAAGAAGTGAGGCTGGACAACAGCTCATTCATAGTCTTGAATAAGAAAATTTCAATTACTGCCTATTGTGTTTCTGGAGATTGACTTTGGTTTTCTGTTGAGTGACAGAAGGGATTTTGTCAGTGGCATGCGATCTCTCCTATTGTTTCTTCCTTGTTAGAACAAGTATTACCTACTGTGAAGATTTCTGCCTTTCTCTTGCCACCTGAGGTAATTGGCTTACAAATTAACGCCTTCAGTGTTGTGGGAAATACTTACAATTCTTGAGCTCTCAGCTTACCTTAATTTTCAGGCATTAAGTTTCCCTGCAAGACTACTCTATTTGGATTTTTTCTTTGTGTAGAAAGAATGTATTATGTTTGTTTGCCCCAGTTTTCTTGGGATTGCTCAGTTTACTTGAGTTTGCAAGGCAAACTTTAAACTTGAAGTAGTTTGAATGTTAACATCAAAATGGTACAAATTACTTCTAGCAAGGGATTCTGTACTTGATTAGAAATAAATGTATTTATAAAGAATAAGGAATTTATGAGATGGAAATCCATGCTGAGAAGGACTGTTTGTGTCAAATATGACTAAGGGCTGGTGTTGTAGCTGACTTGCACTGGAGAGTTTTGCAAATACAGTCTTTTCATTTAAGATTGAAATATTTGGGTCATGTATTAGGAGAAAAGGTGGCCTTCTAGTACACTTAGTGATGGAGAGCTTTTATAAGTACTGTTGTGATTAATTAAAATTTTCCCTTCCCATGACTATAGGAATTGAAATCTAAAATGCAAGGTACACCAGTAATGTTAGTTTTAAATTGTTACATCTTAACCTGTTTCTGCAGAGTGGCAACATTATATACTTTAATGATGTGTTTCTATTATGGGTTCTAAGATTAGTGCATACAGTTTAAGTATTTTGGTTGAGTAGCTTGTGACACTGGATTCAAGGAAGAGAAGCTGACACTGAAGTATGTATTCTATCTAGGTCAAAAAATTCCTCCCTTCTCAGTTTTTGACAGACTTAAATGTGTTTTTTCTGCCCTTTTACTCTACTGATGCTTTATTTGCTCTGGGCATGGGTATCAGTCCTTTTCTTCAACTGGTTTATCCCAGTACTGCACTGAAGTAACTTGGGTAGTGGTAAATTTTCAATAGTAGCTGTCTCAGATGCTGCTTTTGTTACTTTGAAGATGCATGGTATTTCCAAGATGGCCCAAAGGGCAGTTTTGTGCGACTCCTAAAAATGTGGATCACAGAGCACTGTTGTAGAGCTTGGTACTGGAAGCAACTTGTCTAGAAATCCAATGAATATTTCAAATTTGTATTCCTTTTCTACTCCACAGATAGATCAATTTTTAAAAAGTATTCATGCTGCTTGAATACTGGGCAGAGCAGCTTGAATTTTTATCCCCTGTTGGCTATTCAGTAAGCTGGACCTTCATTATTAGGAGAATAAGATATTGTAGATTTCTTAGACTTTTATAGAAACACTTCCCTCTCCAATGAAAGGAAAAAAGCTTCTCCGCCCCCCCCCCCCAACTAGTGTTACTGAAATTAAGATTTAAAGATGTCATTCATTCAAAACTCCAACAGAAAAATGTAACTCCTTGCACCCACACCAGCCACACATATTTTGAATTGAGGCTGTGTATTTTTAACTTTCAATAAACTGATGAAACGGTGTGCCAAATGAGGAGGGGAAGAAATTAGTATGCCACTATTGCCTAGAGGCTTGAGTAACAGCAGTTCTCTAAGGGAGTGAGATCCAAATCATCCAATGACACATTTTTATGGTGAGTAAATAAGCTGAAGAGAGTAAGAGTGCTTCCAAAACAAAAGCTAGCCGAAAAATATGACATGAATCATTATTTGCAATGATTAATATGGCAGTGAGCAGAAAAATTGCATATTGGCCAGGTGTCTTGGAGGGTTGTGCTACCTAAGAGCACAAGTCGATTCTTGTCCTAGTTTTCACCTGAGATAGAATTTTCTTCCTTCTGTAGGAGGGCTGCTTCCCACAGCAGCTCATCTTTGCATGCACAGAAATCAATTAATGGTGAAGTTTTGTATTGGTCCTGAGAAATTGGCTGGGGGATTTTCTTTCTTAACCTTACCAAGCAATCAGCTCAGTCTTGGTGGTGTGAGACTTGATTGTAATTGTTGCAAGACATTATGAGTATATGCACACTGCAAGGAATTAAATTCTGAATTAACTGAATTGTAAACTTTCATGTATTTCGGTCCTGAAGTGGATCCCAGCACTGTTCAGTGTGACCCTTACATTAGAGGCTGTAGAAGAGTAAAAGTTGGTATTTTTTAAAATACTTTGTCTCAACTTGTGGGCTTAATTCCTACTGAACTTTTGTGATTTGATTAACTGCACCAATGTTGAGAAATTAATTTCCACTTTGTCTGATCTGTGCTGATGGATCTCTTTAAACTCGTGACACTTAAAAATATTTTCAGTATACAGTGATAAAAAACAGCCTACTTTTTTCTAAACCAGCTAAGTTGTACTCCTGAAACCATACAGCATATATCTTCCTTGACAAGCCATTTTTTATTTGTGGTCTTTCTTCAAACTCCCTAGTAATTACTTTTATGTACTGAAATGTGGATTTTTTTTATATATCTTTGAGTATGATATATGTGTCCTCAGATTCCTTGCCAGCACTTTATCTTGTAAATGATAGTTTTTCTAGATCGATTTGATACAGTTGTCTTGTTGTACCTAAGAGCCTCTAAGGCTTGAGCCTTAATCTTAAGTGTTCAAAATATTTTAATTATGGCGAGAGAACTCACAGCCATGACGTAGCAAGATCTTTGTGTTTCTAGATCTTGTCAAAGCCTTTCTTAATGCAGTGGATTTTTTAAAACTTGTGTCTAGCTGGAGCTTTTTTAATCTTAGTTTAATTTTAGCACGCTTGGAGAATGGTCATGGTTAATGTATGTTTTTTGGAAAAGGTCGTTGCTTACAGGATTCCACAAAAATTAACTTTCCCTCCTTTTAAATACCATTGGCAAAAAATGTGTTGATAACCTTTGGCTAAATAGATGGCCTTCAGCTAACTGATTTATTATTACTAAAATGTCAGAATGCTTACAAGAAATCAGCTCTTGCATTAAGAGCATCTGGTTCAAACCAAACAAAGGGAGGACTGAAAAGAAGATTGTGAAGAAAAAGGTAAATATTGCACTGATATAGCTTCCATTTGTCAGAGTGCTGTAGAATTCTGGCATGCTCCTGGTCACTATAAAGCTTACATGTAGCCATGTAGCATCCATCTTTTAGCAGGGACCTCTGTCAACCACAGTGTAACAAGAAACTGAGTCTAACCATCCACTTGACATGCAGTCATCCATATGTCATGTGAGTACTGTGACTTATGGTTAATGCTGAGTATGAAGAAGCTGCAAAATAGTGCTTTGTCTTGTAACCCAGGGCACTGCAAGTATTCCAAGTGTGCACTTAGTGCAGATCTGCCATCAGACAGATCCAGAGTCTGACATTACCCAAGAAACATGGGAAAATATACTGGTTTTTGTCTTTTTTTAAATGTATTTTTCTAGTCTATGGCCCCAGTGGAGAAAAGAGAAAAACTATGTATTATTGAAAAAAGTCCTCTAGGAATAACCTTCCATCTGAAAAATAATCACCAGAGAATCCCTGAGGTATGCTGACCGAGGGCTTTTATATTAAGATGTTCGGCCTTCAATACCATTAACAGACTACTGAAACAGAATTACAGGTGGGCTAAAAGGTACAATTACAAGTTTTCAAATTCGCTGGATAAAGCAGTTGGAATGAGTGGGCTGGCACATACCAGCACAGTCTGGTCAGTGGGCTAAGCTATGCTTGAAAGTCAGCTCTTTTATCTGATCACTGTGAACTCACTTTTTGCACATTACAGACAAATGATAAAATTCTAAAATCAGCTTCCAAATTTCCTCAAAGGTTGAGCCATTTAGCGGATTGAATAAGCACCATCCATGAAGCAAGTGAAAATTACAATATGTAGATACAGTAAACTACCTAACAAGCCCGAAAGAGCTACAGCAGAGGAAATGGAGTGATATAATGCCAGGATAGTGTGATGTTGTTAATTAGTGGAGGAGGAAATCATAGGAAATGTGACACAAACTTGTATCAGGTGGTGCTTATTATATAGCTGAGATAGAAGAGTGGATGGTGAAATACACTGGATTAAGGGTTTTCTAAACAAATTCTTCATTATTGCTTTACTGTTTTTAGAAAATGTGACTAATATTGCAGGCTGGGCTATGACTCCACACTAGAACTAACAGATGTGAGGAAGCAGTATTTTTCCTTCATTTTTTTTTCTTTTTAATTTAAAGCAAGAAAGCTTCATGCTGATGGAAAAGTTTAGTGAGAGGGAAGAAAGTATGAGTGGAAGATGCCCCAGAGAGCAGACTACTTCTGGACAAAAGTAAGGAATTGGCAAACAGTAGAGAGCATTAAATAGTAAAGGATTTAAAGACTAAGTAATGCATTTCTGTACCTCTCACTTAGTTACGAAATAACTAAACAGCATGTATTTTTTTGCATTTCTCATTTAGCTTACGGTACATGTTCGTGGGGTAGTTAATTGACCCCACAGACAAGGAAGGACAGACCTTGTCATTGCTTCATTGCTTGTGGAAAAATCTTCTCAAGTTCAGGAGCTGGTAGCACAGCTTCCTAGAGGGAAGGGGAAAAAAACCCGTGGAATTTAGTACATTAGTATAGTATATTCTGTTCTCAGTACAGAAAATTCTTGGTTTTGTAGGATTATGGCATGCGTTCTGGATAATGCATTGGGAACAATAACAAAGTTATTTTCTTCATTCTTTCTTCATCTGCATGAGAAAGGCAGTCCTTTAGGTTCTTGATCTTCAGGAAGTTTTTCTGATGACCTTTCTAGTGCTCATAGTTGGAAATTCCTATAGTTGGGGAAATAATATGCAACATATATGAGAGAATTATGATGGAGAAAGCAGGGCTTGTAATGGCCAAAACAGTGATACTAATGCCAAGGGGATCAAGTTATGAGTTTTGTCAAGTGTGTATATGAAAACTTTCACTGGTCCTGGTCACATGGTAAGGACAGGCCTCAGAGGAAACCTGGTCTTCGTGTGGTAGTGAGAGACGTGAATGTACCTTCACAGTACTAAAGAAAATAAGGAACAAAGAGAATGTACATTGAAGCTTCATTGATTTTTTTTTTTTTTCCCATGTAAAGTTGAAAGGCATAAGACAAACTTTGGTTACAGCAGCTGCTGAAATTTGTCATCAAGTCCTGTAGTGAGATGAAATTTTTGTCTATGTAAAATAGATTTGAAATGTCTTCCGTTTATTTTGTTAGTGAAATCTGTGAAATACCATCTTTTTAAATGTGCAGTCTAATACAAGCCAATGCCTAAATCTTGCACTAGAAAATTCTGAAGGCAAGATCTGAGCAGCATTATTGTTTCACATTTGCAAGTAATGCCAAAATAGTTCCTGGCACCAGAGAGAGAATTTAGTTCATTACCCAACCGCTCCCTGCCCAGGGTTTCTGAGGTAGGTAATTCTGTGCATGGTCAATGACTAATAATGAAATATCAATAATTTTAAATATATTAGGTAGTTAAAAGTTTCTAGGGAGAAGAGTATTGCTGCAGAGGGTGAGGTTGCAAATGTTGAGAGAATTACCCCATTTATGAGCCAGCTATCTAAAACCAGAAAACCTCTTGCATTTTCTGTTTTAGTAGTCATGATTTTATGAGGCAGATTGATACTTTGGGGGATGTACCATATCTTTTTAAAAATTTAGATCTTAATCTACTCGGAGATTCTAATTAGCACTACTTAATAGTGGGTTGTAACAGTTAATGACAATTTCATTTGGTCTCAATATATATTTTTATAAATGCAATGGGAAACACATACTGTATAGATTGCATCAAGAATTGCCTGAAAAATACTGCCAATTCCATTTCTGGATTCAAATTCCCATCTGACCGAGAATGCTGGGCTGAGTAGGCCTCAGGGATCTTGTCCAAAATCATAGAAGTAATTTGAAACTTAACAAGTATCTTTAGATGCTAAAATTTTCTATCCTTTGGATTTGATAGCTCAAATGGATTCATGCAGAGAATTGACTCTTCTGATTTAAAAGGGTGGGTTTATGTAATATCTTGCAGGTATTGCTAAGTCTGTCTTGGTAGTGGTTTCTTTGAAAGAATGAAAAAGTCATCTTGTTCCATCTGCCAGACAGAAAATAACTAGCCAAAAATAAACTTAGCCTAAAGTTCCTGTAAAATTCCTTTCTTTTTTCCTGAAAGCTTGACTTTTTTTTTTTTCCTCAAACAGTATTTCATTGGTATCAGTTTTATTAAGAAAATACAGTACTGCACGTAGAAAGCAGTTTTGAGGGAATATATTCACCTGCATAGCAGTGGTTTGACACCACTGAAAGATGCATATGGGAAGAGTCAATGCATGCTGTTTATTAATCTGAATTTGACTTAATATTGGATTTTGCTGCAGAGGCAAGTACATGTGACATAGACCATAAGATGCCACGTTTGTGAAATCATAATAGAATGGGCATTATGATGAGGGAGGAAGGGAAGGGTTTTCCCCTCCCACGCAGCTGTCATCTTGACAAAAAGCATTAAAGAATTTGTGCTTCTGCATGTTCTGCAAATAAATGCGGGACTTCAGACTACAGAGCAGTGAATTTGCTCAGATTGTGATTCCCAGATTCAAAAAGGATTAACCAGTACCCGTAGTAGCAAAAATCTTTTCACATAGTGGGAACTACAGTTAGTTTTTCAGATCTGCAGAAAATGCACTATGGTCTGTGTAAATAAATACATAATGTAGCCTTCCATCTTTAGTACACCTGGTTTGGGTTCTCAAAACTTAGTTTTTCACTTTTAAGTGTGGAATTTAAAGTACATAGTATTTCAGTTTCTTTGGTTCTCCAGTGTCATCTTTGCACATGTAGTCATTCCAGGGTGTGTGACACTTGCCGCTTCTGAACGCTTGCCGCTCTTCAGATTTAAAACTATTAGAGGAGCATCCTGATTTGGTATTAAGCTATAACTCCTATTGCAAAAATTTGCCAACTCATAACACAGGTGTTGAGTGGTGTCTGTATTTACTTGAATGTACACTTACACTAACATAAAGAATTTAGGATAGAGAGAGCTTCACAATAACAACTTGGGAGCATTTTGGTTTGCTTTTCTGAGAGGTGGAGCAGTGGTGTATATCACTAAGATATCAAGTAAGATGGCTTTAGGTCTGAGGACTATCTATGTTCTAAAATTTGAGCTGTTAAGAGTACTGTGACAATTTGTTACAGCTGAGGGAGGATGAACTTGGCTGCTGTGAAATGGAATCAAGTGGATCATAAACCACCAAAAACCATATTATGTCAACAATTACTGTAATTAATACAAGCTTTATAGCAAAAAATCATAAAGCCTGGAACACTCTTGACTAATGGCCCACTTAACTTTGGCTTAAAGTGTTTTGCCATAACAGCTGAAGTGACAGTACCTCTGCAGTTAGCCTGAATGGTGAAGTTAGAATTTCGTGCAAAACTATCCTGAAGGTAGCAAATGACGTGTCACACATCTTCTCTAATCATGAAGACATTTGATATAAGGTTATCTGGTAAAGGGCATCTTTTCTGAGTGTGGAATGTTGCCTTCTCTGATTGGAAAAAGGTGATATGAGGAAACAGCTCAAATGAAATTAGTAGTGTTTAAATAACGTGTGATGCAATTGCTCGCATGCATGCACAGGCTTGCAGTGCTTTTAGTTTAATCTCATCCCAACCACGAGGTCCTACATGTTTGCTTGTCTCACGCAAATCAAAAAGATTATTATAAGCAGAATGAAGGATTATAAGAAGGCATATCAGGACATATGTTTTTAATGAGTTACCTATCCTTATGTCCCCTTGTATAAGCATATAACTCCATAATTTATGTAGCATACCACAGGGAAGGGCATTGTTCTGCTCTAGATGAGGAGCCACTGTACCTTTTCAGATGTCTTCTTTTATGCTCTTTCTTGTTGGGATGGGTCACACTGCCCATGGAGCTATTCTTGAATCATTCTAGGGGAATTAAAAGATTTAATATTGTGCTGTTTCTGCAAAGCTGGCTTTTATATCAAAGTTTTAAAAAATATTCCTATAGTGGCTGTTTTATGGATAATTGCTTTTTGAAGTGAAAAACAAACATAGCTGAAATATGGCTTAATTTCTCCTGTGTCTTGGATTTCAGTAGTGTGCTTTTGTGAGGTTTTAAGTCATCCTCATGAACACGTTGTTACATCCTTACCCTTGGAGAGAGATAATCTCTGAAATTGATAATTTCATAAATTGATTTCTTCACAAATTCAGTTGTCTTTTAGATTTTTTTCCAAGTGGTTTAGATTTTTTTTCCAAGAACGTATTGTTCTGATTTAACATCGCTTAAATGTTAAATATATTTGATTTGTTATTAAGCTACCAAGCAGTAACTTCATATCTGAAAAGCACATGAAAACAATGTTTTGCTGAACCGCAGAGAAATCTGAGATGCCCGTGAAGGACACGCTTCCTGCTGCCTTTTTAATAGCAGTGTCTCAGTGTATTTCTAGGTGAGCAGTACCAGCTGTAACGCTACTAACACGCAGAACCTTTCTCATTCCTACGTTAAAATGTGAAACGTTCCGGTTCGGCAGGGCGGGTTCGGCAGGGCGGGTTCGGCGCGCGGGGGGCAGCGCCGGGGGCGCGCACGGGGCCGCGCGCGGGGCTCCGCCCGGGGCGGGGCGGGGCGGGGGCGGCCGCGCGCGCCATTGGCTGCGCCGCACGTGACTCGCGGGGCCGCGCCGTGCGCGCGGCGCTGGCACAGCCGGTGGCGCGGGCGGGGCCGGGCGCTGGCGCGGGGATGGAGGCGCGGCGGCCGCGGCCATGGGGTGAGTGCGGCGGCGGCGGCTTCCCGCGCGGGCAAGGCTCGCCGCGCCCGGGACGGGCAAGGGTAGGGGGAGGAAGCGCTTTCGCAGGTTAAAGAAAAAAAAAAAAAAAATCCCTCCCCCCGGAAACCAAAAAGAAAAACCAAAATACCGGGGGTGCGATAAAGGGCTTTCTCGCGGCGGGGAGGGGAGCCCCGCAGTCGCGGGGACGGGCGGGCGGGCATGGCGGGGAGCCGCCACAGGCGGGACCGAGCGCAGCGCGCCGCGCCGGCCGGAGGCACAAAGCCCTGCGGAGCCCCTGCGTGGGCTCCGGTGCTGGGAGGAGCGGGAGGAGGAAGAGGAGCGGCGGCGGCCGGGGGTCTCGGTGCGCGCAGAGCCACGGAGGTGCCCCTCGCGGGGCGGCGACGCGCCGCCCGCGGGTGGCACCGGCCCGGCTTTGTTAGGGACGGGCGGCGGCGGCGCCTCCGCTGCCGCAGCGCGGGGGACGCGCGGGTGGGCGGCCGGCGGGAGCGCTCGGGGGGCAGCGCTGCGCCCTCGGCGCGCCCTGGGATCCGCTGACTTCTCACAGATTTATTTAACATCACAAAGAGGCGCTTGGGTCCACGACTTAACCTGAATGCTGTGGGAAATCTTAATAAATTATGTATGAAGCAGTGGGTCCTTTCTTCCCCTTTGTCAGATACGCAGCTTTTATGCTAGTAATTAGGTCATTGCTAGCAAAGCCTCCTTACTTTTGCAAAAATATGTGGCAATTTTTGGAGGACACATATGCTGCCAGATCATTTCATCCTGTTCGGGTTTCCTGTCAAGATACGGTATTCTTCCTATTGACTCACATGGAAGACCTTGTCTGTGGGCTGTAAAGGGCATTTTTCGTTTGATAGGATTTTCTTTAGAGGACCAGTAGGGCCCGGTTTTGACTTGATTTGGAGAGTCATACCCTGAAAAATGCCTTTTAAAGGCGTAGCAAGAAACACACAGCTTCTTAGTGTGCCTAGAACTATTTTCAGTAAATTTCAGTGCATACGTGAATAGCATGATATTGATCTATTTCTGTTTTTAAGTACTTCTTCCACCCTTTGCTGTTTGTTCTATTGAAAATGCTTCTGTATTTTTTTTCTTACTGTCTTTTTCCCATTGGTTAATTTATTTCTGTTATCTAATGCAGGTAATAGATTTATGAGTATTTTGTCAAGATTATAGTTCTTTGAAAATATACAGAAGCATGTATACTGAAAGCCATTTCCTGGAACCAGACTCTTCTTTATTTTTAAGGAGACTTGAAGTAACTATTCAAATGATCATCTCAGTTCTGTTAAATACAGTGATGCGCAAAAAAGGTTTGATAAAGAAAAGTCTCAGTTTAAATACCTGCTTTATATATCCCCTCAAAACATTTTCTATATATGTAGAATAATGAATCTCCCATGTTATCAGTTAGTGATGCTTTGGATAATACTACATTTTAAAACACCACATGAGAACTTACTGTTTGGAATAACTGGTTTCAATAGGTAAAATGGTGATAATAGATATTTCTGCTTTGGCATCTTGAGCCTTCCTTACAATTGCTTGAATATTCAAAGACACAGAAGATGCAGAGGTGTTTTCACCACTTTTTTTTCTAAAAGGAAAGCGAGTGACAAAAGCACAATAGTGATTATGATGATTATTATGGTGATGCTTCTTCCTGTACTTTTTTAACTCTTAAATACTACCATTCTGTGTAACCGCTGTAGTAATTCTGTAAGTCACGCTTAAAATGATAACTGGAATAAAAGATCACTTTTAATTATAATACTTTAATTTATTTATGGGTGCATACTTTACTAAACATCATCCCTGAAATACAAAGTATTTCATTATGATAAATGTTCTTATACATCTTCTCACAGTATGCCATTGTTATATCAGCATGGAATGATACAGCACAAGTTGGAAATGCGTGTGCCTCCAGTTGGCTCCCTTGATCTCTAAATTCTTAAGTTGGATTTCAGTATGCATATTGATTTAGTTGGTAAAATGTCTATGTTGATGACATATGGTAAATTATTTTATTAGTGTGGTGAAATCTTGTTTAAAATAGGCCATACTCCTAATGATATGCTACAATGCTAAGGTATTGTAAGCAAAGACCTAGCTTCCATTAATGGTTTTCCAAAATTCATTCAGCACTTGTGTGATCAGGTGCTGATATATTTCTTGCAAGACAAATGGTCTTCTGGTCCTTAAAAGTACTGAAGGGAATCCTGAAGATTGCCCTGATAGGTCACCCAAGATGGAGAAATTTATTTATTTATTGTAAATTATTTTTACAATATATAATAGAATTTTTATGATATGTACAGTGTTTTAAATTATAGCTGATTTATTTCATATTAATTGTTTTGAGTTTATGTTTTCATGTAAAAGAGGACAAGAAATACCTCAGACTTAATAGGTCAGGCTTTTTAATAGCTTAAACTTTCTAGAATTGAATCATTAAAGATTATGAGAAATGTGAAAGTAAACAGGAGCAAGTCATGTGCAGTGAGGGCATACACAATTAGTCATGAATTACAAAGATGATCATCTTGAAGGATGAGTTTTCAGGCTTGTGAATCATTCCTGATCCAATGTAAGTTATGATTCAAATGATGTCTGGAGTGGTTTGTGTTCAATATAGTATTTAAATGCAAATCATGTTTCGAATTTTCACAGTCATATTCTGAATACAGCATGACTAACCAGTTAAGAAACTTCCCAACCCAGAATTATAAAGGAAGAAGTGGGAATTTTCTTGACAGTGTAAAGAAGCTGGACTTGACAGTTCATAGTCTGAAATGTATGACTTCTTGATTTTACTCTTTTTGTATTAATAAGAATGTTTTTTCATTGTTAGCATTCTTTAGTGATATTCCAAACAATAAATTATTTTCGTTTTTCACACAAACACATACTTGACCTTTATCATACTTGACATGTAATGAGGCACATTAGAGTTCAGACTATGGTGTTCTCATTCCTTCTCCTCATGGTCTTTTACGGAATGCTGAGAACATGCATCACTTATCACCTTCGGTTAAGATGAGCAGATGATGCTTCTGTTCATGGTTGGTGAGTACAGGCCAAGTATTGAATTTACAGAAGTATCCCAAAATATAATTATGGATTGAAAGCTCTTTCCAAGTTACGAATTAATTTCTGGGTACTACAAAAACGTAGTCTTTACCCAGTCCCCACTCAAAAGGATTTAGGAAGGTTGGGTATAATAAGATTTGTTTTAGTCTGCTGTCCACAAAAATATCCTTCATACAGAAGTGGGTAGAAAAGCTAAAAACAAAATCTTCTTCATGTAAGTGAAGTTTAAAGAAAATTGTTTGGTCTTCCTTTAAAGGGGCTAAGGCTTTCCCAAGTTGTATTAGGATAAGTAATAACAGTAATGGCTCTTCATCTGGCCTTTGCCTTTTTCTACAGGGTTGAAAACCCCAGGAATCCACAGTATGCTTAATCTTGTGATTGTAATTTGGTATGATTTGTTACCATTTTTTTTCAATGTCATCCTTTTCAAATTTATTTAAAAGTTTACTGTTATATAACTTGCAATTAAGTTTCTGTTTTCAAAGCCCTTGTTGCTAAAAGAAACTGGATGAAGAGCAGTTTTTTGTGATGATTGTTTTTTGTACTTCTTCCTCCATTTCTGTTCACCTACGTGGGCTCAAGTAGAGTGAATGAGAACATGAACAGATCTGCTGCTCCACTCATGGGCGGTTCTCATTCTGGGCTGCGTATTTTCTTAGTTGTCTCTAACCACACTCGAAGCCACTTCCAGACAGCTCATTATATTTGTGTGCCCACATTGCCCGGTTGAAGAGAGCCCAAACAAAATGGTTTCCCTTTCAGCTGCTCCTGACTTGAAGTTTGGGGATTGTTCTTAAATTTGGATGGGGACAGGAGGATCAAATATGCTGGCAACAAAGGCCATTTTAGTAAAGGATGGACTTATAATGAGATGGAAATAACATAGTTTTTCAGTGTGATGCTGAAGAAGGCAGAAATATTTTTTCTGCTGTTTGGAGAGAATTAGGATAATGTTTTTTTATTTGAGTCCAGTGGAGTATTTTGCAGTGAGTGGGGAAGGAGAGAATTGGACAATGCTAGTGAAGGATAAACATTTTTAGATTGGCAAACCTTGAAAGCTTGCCCAAACTGAAATGGATAAGACAATCCCTGACAGAGTGATACTCATTTTTTATAAGTTCTTGAACACAGCACTTGCAGTGCTGGTATTTTGCCAGAGCTGAAAACCTGAAGGCAAGCTTCAGACAAAATAATGGAAAATTCAATACAGTATTCAGCCAACAGAGAAATTGAACTAATGCAAATTGCCGTGGTTTGATATGTTCAAAAAAAGAACAGTAAAACCCCCACACACTTCTTTCTTATGAGTGTATAGATAAGGAAGCTGCATGAAAATGGTCCACTTAAGGAACTT